CTCGCCACTGGACTATCGAAAATCCACACGAAATACGTCGCAGTGCCTTTCAGCAACAGTTTTCAGTGAACATGTGGACCGGTATCGTTAATGACACTTTAATAGGACCTTTTGAATTGCCTGGGCGCTTAGACTGTGCTACATATCTAGAATTTTTGCAAAATCGCTTGCCGGAGTTATTGGAAGACGTGCTATTAAATGTTCGACAAAATATGTGGTTACTGCATAACGGAGCTTCCCGCTCACTTTTTTCGGAGAGTGAGCGACTTTCTAAACATTACTTTTCCCGATTGCTGGATAGGCTGCGGCAGCCTAGTTAGATGCGTCCAATTAGAGAGGACGTGGCAATGTTGCAACGCGTGCGAGCGAATTGGATACGTCGCGCTGAACCATGTGTGCAAGCAATTGGTGGGTACATCGAACATCTACGAAAATCACCAGTTCTCAAAAGGTGGCTCCTTGCAGTGTTGAGGTAAGTCAGATTTTAAAATTACATTTTACTCAACACAAATCCAAAATATTTGACATAAGTTCATTAACACCCTGTATAAATTAGCAGGTTTAAACAATTTCCGGGATGGTTGTCATATCACTTATTTAGACTTTTGGAGGATCCAGATCGAAGCGGACCTACATCCTTGAGTAGAGAGTAGATAAGTGTATGTCTGTAAACAAATCTACTGCAGATCAAATCTACTCCATCTTCTGTGACCATTAGGTATGTCGTTCCTAAGATAACTTTTGTTCATATCAGATAAAGAAAATAAGTCTAAGAATGAAATTTCTTCATATGTTATGTTTCTAATTTGTCAAATCAAATTTCTTGTACACTGACTGATCTACTATAAGTACAATATAAATGCTAACATCTAGAGATGACAGAACAACGTTCATAAGGAAGCGATGTTTAGTTTTCTGTTTATATTATTAGTAATACAATATTATAACACATTCTATAATTATAAAGTAATTCTCTCTAAATAAATTGTAAGATTTCGTCAATTAGACGAATCAATAATTTGCTACTGCTGTTGCAATTAAAATATACTTGTAATAGCTTATAGGTACTTGTATTTGATAATTTTACTTAGTTTTACTACTTTTGCTGTACCCTCTGTACTTAATAATAATTTTTTAATACTATAATATAATTTCATTAAAACATTAAATCCACTGTCATTCATCACAAGTATCAGACCCTAACAGCGTAATGGCTTTTCACACCGAAACCTGCGCTGTAGTCAACGGATGCCGCCAGTAAGAACACTACGTTATATATTTTTTCATTTTCCCTTCCCTGGACACACATCAATCAATTTGATAAACCCATTCCTCGCATCTGACTACCTGTTATCCACTAACCCTGCCTACGCTTTCGTTCGGTAAGGAACAACTTTATAAAATTTTTTGTTATCCTCCAGAACTTGCTTCGATGTCCGTACTAAGGGAATATCCCTTGAACAGGTTTTAGAAAGGCAAATCGGAGTGTCGTTTTAGTTTTTGAAATATCTGGATGTGAGACATCCATCAGTTTTGTTTACAATCAACTAGATAGAATGGAGGTAAAATTTATGAATTGTAGAAAAAAGGTAAATTCTGTTTTATGCGTTTTACATTTACAACCTTTGGAACTAACTTCTCAAAAATTTGACCAAGAAATTTATTTATTAAACTAAAATATCGAACGCCCGAAATTAATTAATTAATTTATTTAAAGTATATAATTACAAGACATTACCCAATAACGGGATATGGTAAGTTTGTAATTAAAATATAACAAAAATTAAAATAAAAATAAAAGAAGCAAAAAGAAAGAAAAATACATGGCTATTTAACTAATGTATATTTTATATTTTTAATGGAATAACAAAAAATATCGGTATCATTTTTTATCCATTGTTCTACAATATTAAGGATTAGTGACAATGTAAAAAAGATTAAAAGGATATTATGCTGCTTTAGAAATCAAAGAAAGGAGAAAATGCCACGACACAACATACTTAAAAATATAAATTACACATCCCCACAAAAAAATAAGTAGCAGTTCCGAAAGACAAGACCATAGTATCCATATGGTTTTGGGATCGCTGAATCCAAATCCGGTGTCCGTTTGACACGATTAGCTTTGGATTAAGGTATGTTCAAGGCAAAATACAGAGAATCAATTGCCAACAAGCTAAACCTACATATTATCTATATTTCTTAGGGTCGCCGAATCCGAATCCGGTGTCCGTTTGACTCGTTCAGATCTGGGTTATGGTCAGTTTAAGGTCAAATGTAGAGAATCGATTGAAAACAAAGTAAACCTAAATATCTATATGTTTTTGGGACCGCTGAAATCGAATCTTATGTCCGTTTGACCCGATCAGGTCTACTAAATACTTTCTAATAAAAAAAGATCAATCAACATACAAAAGATGCTTATAAAAATTTATTGGTTTTGAACCTCAAAGTGAAAAATTTGATTGCGTTTAAGCAGAGAGAAAGGTTTCACGAAGATATTAAAGAAGGAGGAAATTTGGGCGGCAATTAAACTATCACTGATAGAGCTAGTGATACTAGTGATGACGTAATAAGAAGTTTCATAAATATTTTTCTAACTAAGAAGTTTCCTTAGGTTACCGCAATGATATCGTTGGATTGATGAATCACTTCAAACAAGGATTGATTCGGCAAAGAGAATTACGAAAGCTGTTCTACTGCATAATACAAATGTGTATGCAACCATACCTGTAGCACATTGAAAGAAGAGTGCCGTAATCTGAGGATAGTCTTACATAGGATCAAATACGAACAACATAAATGGCAAATTTGAGATAACCATCACAATAATACTGGGCCACCAATCGGAATTCACAAAAACTCTTGTTTTTTTATGTGAATGGAATAATCGGGATCGAAAAAACTATTACGTGAAGTCTTCGATGCTGGGTTTTAGAATATAAAACATGAGCCACTTGTTGATTCATCAAAAAGCCTTATTCCACCTCTACACATCAAATTCGAACTCACGAAACAATGGTAGAAAGCTCTAACCAAAGATGGTCGATGCTTTAAGTATATCGAAGATCAGTTCCCCGATTTAAGTGAGCTCAGTGACCTCAGATCCGTAAGATGTTAAAGGATCACATTTTTGATAGTAGAATAAATGAGAACGAGAATTCAAGATGTTTTATGTATTTTATGTTTTAACGAACTAATAGGAAATTTTCTAAGAAATCAAAACAGTTGAAACTATAAAAAAATAGTGAATTTGGTAGTAAGCTTTGACAACCTAGGCTGCTTAGTGATCTCAAATTACATTTTTTACATTCTCATTAGTAGAGGAGTAGAAAATAATAAAAGGGCAGCAGCAGGTGTCGGATGCATAATTCATCAAAAATTAGTACAAAGTGTGAGTAAATGGGAAGCACATACGGAGAGAATTTTATCAGTGGAGATAAAGAAAAGAGATGGAAAACAAATGACTGTGATATGTGTATATGGGCCAGATGAAGATGAAAAAGCANGGATCAAATACGAACAACATAAATGGCAAATTTGAGATAACCATCACAATAATACTGGGCCACCAATCGGAATTCACAAAAACTCTTGTTTTTTTTTATGTGATAGTGGGTTCTAGGAAATAAAAAAAGTCCAAATTAAAAAAAATAGTGTAGAATTTGGTAGTAAGCTTTAAAAACCTAGGCTGCTTAGTGAATCTCAAATTACATTTTTTACATTCCCATTTGGATTATTTCTCAGAAAATTTGGTTGATTACAGTGAGATAGATTTCATCATTATATTAAGGATATGGGGTACCGGTACCAAGGCAGATCGGATATAAATATGTATATATAGATTTACCATCAAAGTTGAGAAAACGTAAAAGAAATCCACTTCGCAGATCTTTTGGCAGCACAACAGTTCGACATCGCAACCGTGAGTAGTAGTCTCGATACCATAATAGTGAGATACAGTGATTTCATGTGATTCATCAAGACAAAAAACCTCATCTCGAAAATATGTGCGCAGGAATCTCAATCGACACTCACTGTGTAAATTAATGTATATGAAGCATTACAATTAACTTGAGAGTCACGAGCTCAGAGTTAAAGTTTTCTTTCTTTAATCTTATTTGTGACTCAAATTTTAATACCCATAAATGCTTACTTTGATTGTTTTGAGTTTAGAACTTGAGTTTATTTAGCATATCTGATCGGATCAAATAGTCCTCGAATTCGAATTCAGCAACCCCAAAAACGTATCGATATATTCGTTTACTGATTTTAACCCAAACCTGATCGGGTCAAACGGACACCGCATTCTGATTCAGCGACCTCAAAAACCTATTGATATGTAGATTTATTTTACTGGGAATTTATTCTCTGTATTTGACCTTCAACTGACCTTATACGGTCAAACGGACACCGTATTTGGATACAGCGACCCCAAAAACGTATGGATATGTAGGTTTACTTTGTTGGCAATTGATTCTATACATTTGACCTTGAACTGACATTATGCCAGAGCTAATCGGGTCAAACGGATATCGAATTCGGTTTCAGCGACCCCAAAAATGTTTAGATAAATTGGTTTACTTTGTTGGCAATTGATTCTCTATATTTGACCTTGAACTGAACTTGAAACAGATCTGATCGAGTCAAGCGGACACCGGATTCGGTTTCGGCGACCCCAAAACCATATGGATACCATGGTCTTGTCTTTCGGAACTGCCACTTTTTTTTGTGGGGCTGTGTATTAAATGACAGCAGGAAAAAATGTAAAAACAAACAGTTTGGATAAATTTAGGAAAATATTAAAGAAATATGCACCTATTTATAATAATAGTAATAATACGTGTAACGAAATGAATAGGATATAATATTACAATACAGGCTGCTTCTGAAATAAATGCGTTCCTTGAAAATATTATTTACTGTAGAGTATTAAATAACAAACGAGACATTATTTTCCTTGTCTGGTCATAATGTCTTCTAAAAAAACATTGCTTTACCTGACACTGTCCATCGATGCACATGTCCAAACTTCCGGGTCTGCACCTAGTGCCATCATGCACTTTTTCAGCTAACCTGACGACAACATGCACGAAATCTTCATTAAGGTCTTCAGCATTTCCGGGTTTGCCTTTGCAGGTAAGGGCACAGGGATTGTCGTCGTCGTAGTGTGGCACCCATTCGTAGATGGAGCTCTCGTACGGGGTGTCATTGTAAGCAGCGCACTGATCTTCTCTGAATTCGTGGGAATCTGGACAAGGCTGAAAAAAATAAAGAATGTTAATAAAATAGCCAATAGTTAATTAAATAGAATTGAATTTTATTAAAATGTTGATTTTACATAAAGTTATATAAACTCCTCTGAATTAAAAAATGCGTTAATCTTATTTAAGGCAGCTGATATATATTTCATTTCGTACAGAAGTGTGTAAGAGAAGAACAGAGCCATGGTTCTTCGACGAACTAGCGTCGTATTCGATGACGCCACGTTGACATATTTTATTTGCAAAGTTTTGTTGCATATCCCACAGGTTTAGCCCTGATAAAGTTCATGCTATGGAAAAAGAGTACCTATCAACGCAATTTGAACATATTTTTTCTTCAATTATAGCTAAAAACCACCCACATTTTTCTTAAAATGCGTTTAATGTTTATTCATGTACAAACTTTGGTATCTTTCTGTTTAACCAACTTGAAGATAATTAAGAAAAACTGTTCAAAGTAACAAATCTATCATCTTGTAACTACGTAAATGAGAAAAATTGCTCCAATAGGATCTTATCCTTCAGTGTTTAAATATAAACGGAACACCTTGTATAAATCTTTCAAATCGAAATTCAAGATGTACAGCATAAATGTCAAACGTAGCTTTTTAAATTTTCCCTATAATGATTCTTCGTTGTATCAAAATTTCACGCTTACAGAGTTTTATTAAGAAAAAAAAGGAGAGACAAGTAACTTGTCAATCTCTGACAGTGATTTTGTTGCCTAGTCCGTGGTGCAAACAAGGGATTCTGGCAATATGAACATTCATTGCATCCATCTTAATCGGTGATACAGAAGACCAGCACCCTAGTTAAGCCAGTTAATCTTTCATTGCAAGGTCTAATCTCTGTTCGGTACAATTTCAATTCGTGTCATCGCGTAGAGAACAGAACCAGTTGTATATTTATTTATTGCCCATCCGATTACGAATCCAATTATTACGGTTCAAAATAAACCGACGTGAAATGACAAAAGGAACCAGGCTGCAATACGGAACTGATAATTGTCTTTGATTACTCGTGTTCTGTTTCAGTGGAAACGGATTTGTTTTACGTCGTGCTGTCTATTTATAAAACTGTTTTTAGACTTTTTGCCACTGAAACCATAGCCTCGTTATTTTCTTTTTATTTATTGATGCACATAAATAACAGACAAACTCAATAATATAATCTAGACATATCTAAATTAAGGAACGTTAAAATAGTTTGACAATAAAAACATAAGTAATGTTCCACAGTATCCGCATAAGCGAAACGACTCTTGTAAAAGAAAACTGATTTTTAATCTCTACCATTTAAAAACAAATAATTTGTAAAGTTTAGTTTCAAGAAATGTTGTACGCTTTAAAAGTAATATATATCATTATAATTCGGTAGCTCAAAAAATAGGGGTAAGCTTACAATAATTCGCATAAAGCTAAAAATTGGTAAGAATATTGGGAACATCATTATAAATGAAATGTGGAAAGTCCCCATTGATCCCATATCTGCAAAACAATTTATTCAAGTTCAAAGTTCGCAAATATGGATTTTTGCATTTTTCAGCCAAACGGTAAGTTTTATCATAAAAATAGGTCTGACAAAAATTGTCGACCATACAATTATCTATAAATATTGTTCTTACCCTTTTTTCCTAAGAATTGCCATTTTTAAGATATTACGACTCAAAAAGTTGAAAAGTTGTGTTCTCCATAATGTGCACACGTTTCCACACCACCTGTAAGGTAGTGTACTTGGCGCGTTTTTTAACGTGGTTTCCCCGGTAGGCCTATTCTATCTATTGTGGTCCTGTTTAATTAAATAATATTGTATTAAATAAAAAATGGTACTATTGAAAATGACGAAGAAGGTGTGAATTATGAATAATTGGGGAAAACTATTCGTCTAATTGATAGTTATCTAATGGAACTTCAAGTGCAATGTCTTCTTTTTTTCTTCCTTCTTCTTCTTGTTCTTCCTGCTGGATACAAGTAAATTGTTCTAACAGCGATGCATCAAATGTCTCCTCGCTGATATCGTAAGAATCCTCTTCTGATGGCTATTCAACATTGGAGCACCCCTTTTTGCAATTATTGCAAAAAGGAGTGTAGTGCTAAGTGCGGCTGCAAAGAAGTTGGATTGTTTTGTTCATTAACATGTACCAGTTGTCAAGGCCAGTCGTGTTCCAATGTCTGATCGTCATCAGAAGAGGATTCTTACGATATCAGCGAGGAGACATCTGATGCATCGCTGTTAGAACAATTTACTTGTATCCAGGAGGAAGAAGAAGAAGAAGATGGGAGAGAAGAAGAAGAACTTGAAGTTCATTAGATAATTATTAATAGTTTTCCCCAATTACAATTACTCATAATTGACACCGCTTTTATCTCTTCCAATAGTACCATTTTTATTTAATACAATATTATTTAATTAAACAGAACCATAATAGATCGTGGAACAGCCCTACCGGGGAAACCACGTTAAAAAAAATCGCGACAAGTACACTACCTCACAGGTGGCGTGGAAAGGTGTGCATATTATGGAGAACACAACTTTTTCAACTTTTTGAGTCGATATATCTCAGAAATGGTGATTGTTAGGAAAAAAAGTGTTAGGACAATTTTTACAGAAAATTGCATGATCTACAATTTTTGTCAGACCTATTTTTTTGATAAAGCTTACCGTTTGCCTGAAAAATGTAAAAATCCCATATTTGCGAACTTTGACCTTGAATAAAATTTTTTGCAGATGTGGGATCGATGGGGACTTTTCACATTTCATTTGTAATGGTGTTCCCAACATTCGTACCAATTTTCAGCTTTATGCGAATTATTGTAACCTTGAATGTCTATTTTGACCGGGCTATTAGTGAAGTATCCTTTTTGCAGGAAATAAAGAGAGAGAGGGGAAGATAGAAGGAAAGAGAGAGAAAGAGAGAAAGAAGGGGGAAGATGGACAGAGAAAGAGGGAGAGAGAATGAGAGAGAGAGACCGCGAGACAGAGAAAGAGAGATAATAAACGGCGAAGAATAGTAAATATTATTAGTTAAAGAAACGTGATTATACTTAAGAGTTAGTTTAATGTAGGGTCACATTTACTAGATCAGTGTCTGCGGACAGCTAGGTATTTTCGTGCACGCCTTCATATTTCTTATGGCGTTCCGAGTTATATCTTGCATTATATATTTTCCTGGTAATTACAACAAAAGAGATTGTCGCTGATTTATGTAGGTCATAGGCTCGTTTGACAACATAGTTTTACATTGGGCGGCATGTCGTGGATTTATGTAAGTAGGTTGTCGTGTATCACAGCCCCACGTTGGGCGCCATGTCGTGGATTTTGCTCGGCCTGACTAGCTTGCGGTGGAGTTGATCTCCCCTTAGAATGTATAGAGGGTTCAGAAGGAGCCTTAATGGAAGATGCGGAGATGATCGCCCTTCCTCCATTGTGAGTTCTAGTGTTGCTTCAGGGTGTTTGTAATTTGTTTTTTTTTTACCTAGGGCGCACTTTGGACACTTGTACTTTATTTTATTAAAAGTTCGTATTATTTAAATGTTTTGTGTAATGAGTTTTCAACTGAACCACTGGTGGGTCTGCTACCCTAGTGTCTGAAAATCACTCTCTCTGCAGTAGCTGAAAGCACTTGAGTTCGTAGTGTACGACCTCCTTAGAGTGCCGGTACGTTAAGCTTTAGAAGCTTTATAAGAATTACAGCGTAAGAGCTGTGTACTCGAAACAGTAATGCAGTATTTGCAATGCCGTGGTTGCTATACTATGGGAAACCTTGAGATTCGGTTGAGTTCACACTCTGACCAGGCGTACATGTTCTGGTTAATAAACTGCGGGAGAACTGAGTTGATCTACGGTCGTTTGTGAAAAGTTGAAAGTCTAAAACTGATTTGGATAAATACCGACATCTTTTAAGGGTGTGAATTTAAAGTGTATGTTTTTATTTTTGCAACTTTTTGGAAAGTGGGGCAAAAATTTTGATGCTCCCGGTATTCGTTGGCGACCTCAGGAAGACATCGACATACGTTGTCGTCGTCGTCCGAGGGAACGGAGGGCTCTTGGCGGCAATCTTCTCATCCAGGTGGCTTAACGGGTGAGTTTTGGAAACATCGGTGAAATTTTTCAAAACATCGGTGAATTTCCACGCGCTCGCTCACATGCTTATTCGCATTGTCGTGAGTGTCTCTGTGATGATTCAGTAGCGACATCTGAAGCTTGGTTTCTAAATCCTCCAGCGTTCTCTAGGTAGCTTTTTGCCAGTCCCCTGGACAAATTCGTTGATGTTTAAATAATTCTTTGAACAGTGAACACAAGCGAAGATTTTATCAAGTTTGTACGATGGCATATTTATTCATCGATCAGTGAAAAAATTCACAAACAGCAATAAACTGTTTTCGGTGAACCACTTTGTACAAATTTAGTCGTGCCTCTGTATCTAATGCTTTCTATACAAAATAAAAATAGATTTTAGATAGTAATCTGCGTTTGACAATACTACGATCTTGAATTGAGATAATTTAAATTTATGTAAAGCTATGCCACTGTCATTATAATAGTGCAACTAATATTAAATCTTGACTATAAATAATACACGATTGTAGGCAGATACTAATTAAGTGGAAGGAAAATTATTATTATTTAGCATTATTGAGAAACGTTGAATTGTGAAAGTGAAAAGAGGGAGTATCCAGTTTTTTAGGCGAATCATTTACAATCGCTTTTATTGTGAAATGTTATGATTTATATATAAACAATGTCAGCATATTCCATAAATATATTACTTAATATTAGAGATTAGATCGACTTAAATCGATTCCCTTGATATTGAGGTTTTGGATTTCGGT